TTAAATTCAGGAAAACAAACCCACATTTCACCACCCAACCCAACTCCAAGGGAATGCAGTGCTTATTTTCATGGACATGAAGAAACAAAGACACAATTTTAAGAGTGTGGATTCCTCTATTGCAAGAAGAGCTTTACCTAGACTCAAGACAGACTTTTGCTGACTTTCTGGTGTTTGCAGCAGTAGAAGCCCCAGCCCAATGATACACTGCTCTGCTGGAAATCCCTATGAGGAAAGAAGAAGAGAGTTCAGGCCTCTCTTGTTTTTCAGTGCCATTAAGCAGTACAAATAAGTAACTACCAAAACTCTGAAAGGAGGACCTTCATGAATCATAGTGAGTGCACTATGACATGACAGAACAATGAAAAATACAAACAATGCGAAAAATACTGTTTTAACTAAATAACTACACCATTTTAATTTCCTAGTCCTTTCAAACCATTCTAGATCAGTTTAAACCATTTTGATACTAAAAGATTAACTGATATATACAGAACCAGTTACGTTTTCACCTTCGGAAGGTCTTCAACCAAAAAAACCCACTTTTGGTCACTTTTGGTCATTAGAAACATTGGTAACCTGCAGACGAATGTCATGTGTAAGTGTCTATACTGTCTTAAACATGACATTCTTTAAATTTGATAAAACTAGCTCGTTTTTTTCCTTACATACTCTTACCTCTTTTAAGAGCTCAAAGTTGTCCTCGATTAAGGAGATCAAAGATGAACACTCTCCTGTTACATTTAAACTCACTTCACAGAAGCATAACAGTTGCAGACAGAACTGGGATAACTGAGCTTTCCAAAACACAGGATAGCGCAGTAGGCAGAGGAATAGTTCTTGAAGAAAAAACAAAGCTTCTGTAACTTGCAGTAGGTCTTTAAGCTGTAGAGAGGTAGTTGAAACAAAACAAAGCCAAAACACAAGATGATTTAGTTCCTCTTCTCTATCTGCACAGAATTTATAACTAGTTCTATTAGCTCTGCAATGTTTCCACTGCAAATAGCACTAAGATCTTTGAAGAAGCACATTTATAAGCTAAACCCAGGAATCCCTTATCCAACTCCCCTAAAAAAAAATCCTACAATTTATGAACTGTTATTTAATGTTTTGAAGTAAAATGAGAAACATGTGAAAGAAAAAAAAAAGACTTCTTGGTAGCTGATGAGAAAATCCCCTCTGTAAGAAATTCATTCAGCTCTCAGGGTTCTTGCAACAACATAAAAACAAAGTGTGTGTGTGTATTTTACAGAGCAGGTAAATACTCTTGTAACAGAAACATCCTGCTCTGGGATATTTTCTCTGTAATGTAACGAAGATTTTAACTTACTTTAACTTTTAGCTTAGCCCAGCTTAATTCTCTGTGTTGTATAAATGTGAAATGCTTCATTGTTATTTTGTCTGACAGTGTCAACCAAGCTGGCAAAAGTACAGCTCTTCACCTGCAGACTTTTCTGCTGATATGTTCAGTAAACATAAAGCTTCTGATTAGAGCATGCTATTCACTTAGCAGAACTGGGATAAAAATCGAGATGTTATGCTTACACTTTGTTATGCCAAGCTCTGTCTCCAGAGTTTGGATTGGAATAATGTTGCAATAAAGCAAGGCAGTGGTGTTACCTGCCTCTAGAGCACCACACAATCTACCTGCTACAAAAACTAAAAGCTGAAGTGAGATATACAAAAGCATACTCCATACCTGGAAGTAAAATAAAGAGGTTTCAAGAGGCAGGTTGCCTCAAAGCCCCCATGTGTGCCAAGCTCTGTCTCCAGAGTTTGGATTGGAATAATGTTGCAATAAAGCAAGGCAGTGGTGTTACCTGCCTCTAGAGCACCACACAATCTACCTGCTACAAAAACTAAAAGCTGAAGTGAGATATACAAAAGCATACTCCATACCTGGAAGTAAAATAAAGAGGTTTCAAGAGGCAGGTTGCCTCAAAGCCCCCATGTGTTCTGAAAATTCTAGTTCTAGACAAACACTATTCCAATCCAAACTTGAGACAGAGCTTGGAATAACAAAGTGTAAGCATAACATCTCGATTTTTATCCCATTTTTGTCCTGTGAATAGCATGCTCTAATCAGAAGCTTTATGTTTACTGAACATATCAGCAGAAAAGCCTGCAGGTGAAGAGCTGTACTTTTGCCAGCATGGTTGACACTGTCAGACAAAATAACAATGAAGCATTTCACATTTATACAACACAGAGAATTAAGTTGGGCTAAGCTAAAAGGCGTTGTCTGATTACAAAACACACCATCAAAACCAGCATCTTGAGAGAGGTACTTTCCATTTTGAAAGCTGTATCTCAGAAAACACAAAAATGTTTAAGTACTAATGTAAGTTTTAAAATATGCAACTGATTTCTAGCTTAAAAAAAAGTGCCAACATGCATGAAGAAAAAGGTTCACTAATCTTCTAGGTCGTTTTCAGTGCCATTTTTATAGTTAAACATTTGTCACACATTCAAGGTACAATGAATACAGGCAAAATCAGAAATGACCCTGTGACCAGAAAAAGTCAGCATTTACCTGTCATCACAAAGAATAGACCTGAACCAAGATAAACATTTATAACACAAATTACATTTTTTCCAAAAGATCGTGAAAAGTAGCTACCAGTACAAAGAAGACTTTACTCATAAAATGCCTCAGAAGCAAGACATTAATAAATATCCTCATAACAAGCCTACTTAGCTTTACATTGTTATCAAATCTTGTCTCCACGGCAATAAGGACATAGCACTGACGTTTGATGAGTGTCTGAAATTGGTGTCTCAGTATCAAAGAGGAAGGAAAAGGTCCATAGGTACAAAAAAGCTTCACTGATGTTACAGTAAGGCATGTGGCAAAGCAGAGCTATTAAATTACACAATACCCTAGGCCCCTAACCAAAGGGGACAGAACGATAAAACCCCTAGCTCCTAGCATGCATCACTGTGCAACTTAAAAATACATTCAGAAGCCTCAGCACATTATGGAAGGATTAAGTTTTGTCTTAAACTATTCCCTCTGTTACAAAGAGTGAGAAAGGAGTATCTAGGAGTACTTAAATCATGCTTCTCATACAGTTTGTTTCACTTTAATATATCCATTTTAAGTTAAAAATTGTGTGGTTTTGACAAATACCTGAGCATTTAACACTTTCTCATGGCTGTCTTTCTCAGCTTACGGTATGTTTACTGAGGCAAGTAGTTGCAAATAATTATGGTAAACACATGCTTCAATTTACACCTTAGCAAGTGTATCAGATTTGAACAATTAAAGTTCTACCTTCTACGGGAAAGAGACAGTTTGTTAGATTTCTGTACTACCAACAAAGGTCTACAGAAAATGGAAGTGAATGTTGTATTTGCACACTTGAAAGGCAGTAATAATACTACCATCATTGCTTTGAGAACATATATTTATAAAAGGTGAGGTCAGGCAATGACTGTACCTGAAGGTGTGGAATCAAGTTGTACAGAAGTTGAAGAACTTCATGTTCCAAGGTGGGGGGTGCTTCTTTGTGCTTTGGCACATGAGGCTGAAGTAAGACCTTAAGCAAACCCATTCGCAGTTCAGCATATTCCCGTAACTGAGATGGTTCACAGTACAGGAATCTTAGAAATGGAGCCATTATGCCAACACATGAACACTCTGCCCTGCAGTGGAAGAAATAAGTCTGCCATGACTGCTTTCTACTGAAAACTTGGCAAACAACAAGGAAAACCCAAGCAAGGTGACATGACCTGCAGTAACTTACAGGATGCAATTAATAGAAAGGTGTTAAGAAAGGCATTAAAATACTTACTAGGACTTATTAGGACAAAATACTCTCACAAGATGTTATATAGCAACCATACTATGAAGTGCAATTTTAAATGGACTCCAAATTTAGGCATGAATACTACCCAATATGTACCAGCAGATTATGACACTCTTAATTTTACTCTTTTTCTCTCATCAGTTCAAGAAAGTGACTTTACTTGCTGAATGTCATGAGCAACTAATGTGCCATTCTGAAGTAGCACTTGGATAAAACTACTTAGAAATACCTTTTTAAAACACATGAAACAATTTCATTTATGAAGAGTTATCCATTCCATGGCAGTTTTCGCACAAAAAAACAATTGTATGAAATTGTAACTGCTTTAACCAAGATGTTTCCCAGCAAAAAAAATTATCATAAAACAAATCTTTTGGCTTGACCCAGTTAGGAATACAACCTGTCCTTGACATTATTAAAGCAATCAAATAAAGCTAATGGTGAATACATTAACAAATATAGAATCACAGAATCATTTAGGTTCAAGTCCAATCTTTATCTCAGCACTGCCACGCCCACCACTAAACCATGTCCCTCAGCATCATGTCTACATCTCTTTTGAATACTTCCAGGCATGCTGACTCTACCACTTCTCTGGGCAGCCTGTTCCAGTGCTTGACAACCCTTTCCAGGATGTAATTTTTTCTAAAAGCCAATCTAAACCTCTTCAGCACAACTTGAGGCCATTTACTCTCATCCTGTCCCTTGTTACTTGGGAGAAGAGACTGATCCTCACCTTGCTACAACATCCTTCTGGGTAGTTGTAGGGAGCAATAAGGTCACCCCTGAGCCTCCTCTTCTCCAGGCTAAACACCCTCACCTCCCTCAGCCTCTCCTCACAGGACTTGTGCTCCAGACCCTTCACCACCTCCACTGCCTTTCTTTAGACTTGCTCCAGCACCTCAATGTCTTTCTGGAAGTGAGGGGACAAAAACTGAACACAGGATTCCAGGTGTGGCCTCCCCAGCACCAAGCACAGGGGCTGTTCCCTTCCCTAGTCCTCCAGGCCACACTATTTCTGATACAAGACAGGATACCACCAGCCTTCTTGGCCACCTGGGCACACTGCTGGCTCATGTCCAGCTGCTGTTGACCAGCACTCCCAGGTTCTGTACTGACAGGCAACTTTCCAGACACTGTGCCCCCTCCCTGTAGTGCTGCCTGGGTTTGTTGTGACTCAAGTGCAGGACCTGGCACTCAGCCTTGTTGAACCTGATACCACTGACCTTGACCCATCAATCCAGATCTCTCTGCAGTACCTTACTGCCCTCCAGACATCAAAAGGGAATCAAAATCAAAGTCCGTTTTAAACACAACTCAGTCTTGATGCAAAGCTGTACAAAGGACTCAGTAATAGGTCTACATCAACATATGTGGTGCTTGTTTACATCGCACTTAGGGACACTATTTAGTGGTGAACTTGGCAGTGTTAGGTTAATGGTTTGACTCAATATTCTTAAGGGCCTTTCCCAACCTGAACTATTTTATGATCTTGTATTCTTAGTCTATCACTTTATCCACAGAAACCTTCCACAAAGGGCATCAAAGAAAGTCTAATATATGTTCCTTTTCAGGAAGAACACCTCCTGTTCTTATTCAAAGCAAACCATCAGCAAAAAATCCACAGTTCATTTCATCACTTATACATCTGATAGGACTCCAGGAGCCCCAGATTTAGCAGGTCAGTGAAAGAACTAGCTTGCAAACAACATCTGAAAAATACTCTAATTAATTAAATTGAGCAAAACATACTTTTGCTTGAAAGTCTTACTGTTGATAATCTAGTCTAGGTCCATTAGAAATTTAAGAGATTAATAAACTTAGTTCTTTACTCAGAGCAACAGAATAGAGATGCCAATTTCACGGGACCATTAGTCTGTTATTTGTCTTCCAGAAAACAGTAGGAAAGGGATACTTTTATCTGAAAAGCACACATAAAAGTGGAAACTCACTGAAAACATTTAGCTTTAAAGCTGATACAGCATTTGGGTTTTTTTACACAGAAGCTTTATGGGACAAATTCCTTGGAGACAAGCATGAAGAAATGTTGAAATTATTTGCAGTTGGGTATTAATTGTTAAGGATGTTTTATATTAAGGCTGTGCAACTGATTTTCTTCTAGGCTTTTTAATCAAGAAGCATACATCATTTTCCAAGATCTTATCCTTTACCATGAAATGTAATTGCATTTTCTCTTCATCATCCCACCATTTTATACAGATGAGTTATACCTCCATAGTAGTCATTTTTTGACTAAGCAGTAAAAATTTAAACAAAGCCAAAACGCAAAATTGATCATTTTAAAAAAAATAAATCCAAAGGTGCTATCAATTTTGCACCAAATGTTCTATATCCATACAAATTTTATCTAGACAGTTAATAAAAAACAAAGAATTTGATGGATTATGCTGGTATTTACTTATTAATTATTATTAATGTAATTTTTTTAAAACCTTGATTTGTTGTCATTAAATTTTACAACCATCTTTTACAAAAACCAGTATTCTTACAGCTCATTGCAGCTACCTGCAATAAAAAAGTTACATTGATTCAGTTAGCTTCATTTGTTATTTTTTAATTATTCATTCATTTACCTCTCTGGACACTGCTGGAAAAAAGCTGTTATTTGCTGTAGTAGGATTGGCCAGCAATCAGGTCTGTTTTCAAGGACAGTGATTAATGGATGAGGAGCATGCCTGAAACACAAAGAAATCACTTTTCTATCTATAATGCAGGAAGCAAGTCTGCAGAACAACTACCTTCAGAATAAATGCAGCTGTGGAAATAGAAAATTTAACCCTCTGGTTTTAGCAAAGCTGATAAAGGGAGTTGGTAGGACTGCTATACTGTCAGAGTGCACATTCTCTCAGAACTTCAGGAAACAGGATTAAAACAAAATCCCTATTTGAAAAGTCTTGGTCTCATTTTTTTCTAAATTAATTAAATGTCTAAGGATCACTGGTTCGAATGCGTGAACTGATTTGAGTCACTGGTAGCAGGTACTAGGCTGTAGCAGTGGACTCCAAGGAATACCCACAGAAAAATCTGAACCACATATCACATATAATCAGTCCAGTCTTTCAAGCACAGGCACAAGTCTTCAGCACCTGAGACCAATTGAGTTGACCATCATCCCACTTCATATTATAAATCTGCTCCCAACTTATTTATTTTTCCTTTTTTTTTTTCTTTTTTTTTGTCAGGCAGTAAGAGAAATAGGAAAGGAGACAGGTCTGGCTATACCACCATTTTGGAGACTTCCATTCTACTGCCAGCCCTCTGACATTTGAAAAGGTCACTGAGGCATAATAGATCCATTTGAGAACAGGTGCCTATCACCAACACTTTCCCCACCTTCAAAGTCAAAGACTGAAGGCCATCTACACCACATATAAGTGAGATGTTTGCATCAAGCAGTGACTACCTTTGTACAATAACAGGTGGAGGAAAAGCTGGGCAGGAAGGGAGACTGGAGAGCATAATTTATACTTTCAGAAACAAAACCCAAGTCATTTAACTAGAGTAACTTAAAGCCCAGAGTAGTAGACGTACCATCCCTGGAGTGTTCAAGGCCAGGCTGGATGGAGCTTTGAGCAACCTGGCCTAGTAGAGGGTGTCTCTGTCCAGGGGCAGGGAAGGCTGGAACTATATGATCTCTAAGGACCTTCCCAACCCAATCCATTCTATGATTCCATAATACAAAAGGGAAACAGAATACAAATCAGAACATTAAATTTCCTGGAGAAGTGGGAAATTGGAAAGAACTGGTAATGTGAATGCAGATTCATCACTACCTCCATCACCTCCTTCTGGAGTTAACCCACTCTCCTTGCTGGCCCTCTTGTTTCCACCTGCCCACTAAGTATCCTTATTTCCCCCAGTTTCCTTTCCTGACAATGTAGATTATACTCTGGTATACCAACAGTTTAACAGTAGACAACCAGATACTTCCCAGCTATCAGGACAGAGACAACTTTCCTAATGGCAAGTGGAAAATTTGGAAGAGAAGAGTCCTGCTGATTCCTATAGATCTACCAGACGTGTGAGAGAGCAGTGCTATAGGAATAAACCGAAAGGTAACGAATGCACACACACCACACAAGGTTGGCAGCCACAGAGATGAGCAGCACAAATCTGCTGCAGACAACCACCACCTTCAGTTTGGTTAACCATTCTTCCTGTTCATATGTCCAACAAATCTGTGCTACACACTAGAGAAACCTTCAGTGAATTTTATCCATACAGCACTAGATGATTTAAGAGCCACCAACTGAAGTGGCACATCTCAAGAGAGACTGCCTCAGTTTCAGATTTAACAGACCTTTCAAGTAAAATAGTGAGAAATAATTATAAAAAGAGAGACAAGGACAGACAAGCCTCTTAGATAAGATTTATAATGGTATTTCATTTGACATTGTTGTTTTAAAAACCTCTGAAGAGCAGAAAGCCCAACACCTTCAGCAGCCCTCTTATTAGAGATGACAGCATTCATTGAGACACACTTGTATCCAATAACATTGTGCTACAACAAAGGCTTCATCTTGAGCAGCACCAAACCAATCCAGCTCCAGGTGAAGTGAATGAGATCTGCAAGAACCCCATAAAAGAATAAAAATATGTATCTAATTTTTCCCATTATATAGCAAATTTGAATTGCATAACGTGATGGTGCATTATGACTTCCCTTACATGAGCTAAAAAGGTAATGCCCACCTGCAATAAACAGGTAATTTTAGAGACAGACCATGCCTAGCAAGATACTATTTCTGAAAAAGCATCATCCAGCAGACATATCCTTGAACTAAAAGAGGTGCTCCTCATTATGATTTTTTCACATTTTCAGTTCTAACATAGTTTGAATCCTGGGCAACTGACTTGGTTTGAGGATAATCAGAGAGCAATAAACATCACCATTAGCTGAATGAAAGGCCCACCAAATGATGACAGCTGGTTACAGAGTATTTTACATACATAATGCCTCGTTTCTTTGGGGTTTTTTATGACTGGTCTTCAAACCACTTTTCTTCTGATTTGTGTTCCTTTTCAGGCAAATTAATAATTTGAAGACACAATTTCTTTCAGAAAGCTGTCTCATGTGATGGACTACTTGAAGCATGTTCAGAAAACAGATACTAACTACTTGAACACAAAGTATGCTCATATTCCAGGTCAGGCCTTCATATTTGGGACTAGAAGCCTGGCACTTCCCACACTCATTTCTCAAAAATGTGTTAACTTACATATGTCCACCTTCCTAGATTCTGTAAATGTCTTACTATTACAGAATCTTTTATAATCTGTGTAAGAAGACTAGAACAGCTAAGGTATTGCTTCATTGCAGCTTTCCAAGATGACATCATAGAAGAGGCAAAAGACTTGTTGCCTGTCTAGCACTTGAATCTAGCAAATCCTTATCAGGTAAGCTAGAAATACAGCCCACATATCATGCCAGGACCTTGAAAGTGCATAGTGCTTATAGAAACATATAGGGCTACAGCAGCTGCTTAATTCAATGCCTTTGTCATATTTTAAGGATTAGTTACGTTTCCTCATCAGACGATTATATCTCCAGTCATCATTTAAATGCCACTACGACACTGAAGCCAGTGGAACCTTCCTAAACTCAGCACATGTAACACATCAAGTCTAAAACTGAAATGGCTTAGTATTCAGAAAAAAAGTAAGCCTTTCATGACAAATTTTGTATGTTCTGAAACTAATATAACTGCACCAAAGTGGATGATGAAAGAAATCAGCTACGCTCCATAGCAAACAGTAACTAACAATTAAACACCAAAATGTGCAGTCCAAAAATGTTCCACTTGATAATGCCAGCAGCAGTAGGAAAAACGAGGTGTGTTGATGCAATTTATTGTCAAAATTAACTTAAGAATTGCTAGAACAGCACTGCAAAACACATCTTTAAATGGCATTACAGCACTACTAACTTAAACTACTGCCAGTGTGTTCAGCACAAAGCAAAATGCACAACCAGTCACAGCAGTTACCCACTCATAATACGTAAGTGCCCAGGAAGACCAAGAAAAAACTTCTGTGAGAAGTAACAATAAAAGAAATTATTTTTAACTTTGAGGTCATCTCAACTTTTTTGTTCCATCTCCGAACACAAGAGAGCTCCAGTCTGACTTACAGGTCATATTCAGTGACAGATTGCTTCTTCTATATGAGGAAACAACGTCTGCCGCAACGTACTTTTCTGGGTATGCAGATGTGACCCTGGCCCCTTCAGAAAGCTGGAACAGCACTTTACTCCACCAAATGTGCATTTTTAAAGTATTTTTCTGCCTGTTCTGAATTTTGATTTCAGAAAGTTGGCAGCTCTCCAGAATTCTAGAACAATACAGCCATGCATGGCAAATCATTAAGAATAATGTAAAACACTAGTCCATGAAAAAATAAAGGTTAATAGCTTTCGGCAAAAATTTACAGCCAAAGTTCTGTACATGTGTGTCATAACCCACCTGCACTGAGAATGCTGCCAGGAGCCCCTCCTGGCTCAAGGCAAAGGTAGTTTATTACAGAAAGGCAAAAGCTATACAAGAAAGCAAAGGAAAAGAAGAACATTTATTCTCTGCTTTCATCAGCAAAAAACGTCCAGCCACTTCCAGGTGAGTAGGGCTTCACTACATGTAGCAGTTACTTTGGTAGACAAATGCCTTAACAATTAATCCAATCCTGGCTCCCTCCTCTTAGCTTTGATTCCTGAGCACAATGTCATATGGCATAAAACATCCCTTTGGTCAGCTCAAGTAAGCTGTCCTGGCTATGTCCTCTCCCAAAGTCTTGACCACCCCCTACCTTGCTGGTCTTTCCAGGGCTGGGAGTGTGCTGGAGGGCCAGCACTGCTCAACAGTAACCAAAACACAGGTGTGTTATAAACACTGTTCTGACTGTAAATACAAAGTACAGCACTATGACAGCTGCTGTGGAAAAAGCTAACTCCAACCCAGACAGATACAACACAACAAACCAACAAAATCCTACAAAAATGCCCAAATCTGCAAGATAGTATTTTCTGCCATTTCTTTTTGGGAACTATTCACCATACTACTTTGTGAGAAGAAGCTGCATTATAAAACTAATTCTATTGTCTAGAATTAACATTGGCCTAAACCAAATTAATTTATTTACCTGTAATACTGGTGAGAATAACAAACCTCTTGAGAACACACTGATGCTTTTTGATTCTTCATTGATGGTTTCCATATGGAATACTTTTGCATAGTTGACAGCATAATATATGGACAGTGTACAGGAGATAACTGCTGGTGAGCTACTGCACACATTCTATGCTTCTAAACAAAAAATCAGTTTTTAAATGCACTCAATAGAGCACAGCTACAAAAATTGTTAATATATAGCATGGTATAACAATATTA